TACCATTACCATTACCATAACTTTTGTTTGGGCTTTTTACTCTGGTCTGGAATCAACAAGATAGCTTCCGTTTTTAATTTGTATTGTCTGGMTCTGCTATGGATCTTTTGTAGGAATAAGAAATACATTTAGGGTTCAATCAACAACCAAACCCCCTTCTCTTACTCATCATTAATATATATTTCTCTTTCAATTACAAACATGTCGCTGTTGATATGATGGCTTCCATGAGTTGAACCAAAACTCTCTTCAATGTTCAACTTCTTCGTCACATAGTTTTGTTGTTGCAAATAACAAGTTAATGAATCAAAGATAGATGATGATGATGAAGATGAACGGGGGCATAGACATAGAGGACGAAGATGTTGCCTTAGTAGTTTTTTTTTTTTTTTTATAATATGCAAAAATGATCAAAACATTTTAACATTTTTTTTTATAAATTTAAATGCAATCATAACGGTAAAATACTTTGATCTATGTAATTTTTAGCAAGTCAACTAAACCTTTATCATAGATCCTTAAATGATTATTTTAAAAGTTARTTCTTAAAATATAAATCAAGTCAAAATTGATTACATTTTAATACAACTTTCTCTAAAACAAAACCATTTTCTTATATATTCATTATGTAATCAAATTAGATCATAATAAAATATTAATTTGAAAATRTAGGGCTGAACCAYACAAATTTATTTTCTTTCATCTCATATGCATAACCAAAAACTTATTTGAAATTAATTGTTTTAATTATCAATTTATGTTTCTATTACTTATTTATATTGTGGTTGACTAATTTTTATAAAAATTATTGTTGAAATAATTGGTTGGATAGAATCTTTCGTTCAAAGCTTCTATTGTTTACAAGGTTAAGTATATTCAAATTTTGTTAACACTTGTAAATCTTTAGAGATCAGAACTGGTTTAATGTCTATTAATTTCTTCTTCGTTAACAAGTTTAATGAAATTCATAATTTATTTGATTAATTATAAATAACTATTTGATAATGACTTGATATATAATAAGTAGCCTTTTTAAAGGAAGCTTTGTATAAAAAAATTCATTTCTTTTAAAACTCCTTCATTTCCTATTAAAAACAGGATTCCTTCACCTGTAAGAAATACCTTTATCAATCTATCCAAACAAATAACAACACCCCCACTACTTTTATGCTTCTATGTTTTCAAATCAATCACCCAGAAAAATACAAATAAAAAAGGGTTAAAAAGAAAGGCAGAGTAATAAAGTGTAGAATCGTGGCTAGCACAGATTAGTGTSGTCTCTTCCTCCGGAAGCTTTCTCAGACACCATTATAAATTAAACACCCTCTTCTTCATTCCCACCAATCCATCCCATATTCCCATTCATGGCCAGTCAGCTCAAAGTTGATGAACTCAGAGATGCCCTCTCCAAAAGAGGGCTTAGCACAACCGGTATCAAACCCACTCTGGTACGCTATTTTTCTTTAAACCTGCTTCTTTCTTTTATTCTACAAGACTCTTCAAAATTGCACATTTTTGTAGGTGAAAAGGCTTGAATCTGCTATTCGCAAAGAGACACTGACAATCCCTTCAGGGGATTCAAGCAATAGATTAGAAAAGAGAGAGAGGGAAAATTCCGAAGATGGGGATTTTGATTGCAAAATCAGGGCCATCGACGACTTAAGGAATTTGAGTATTAAGCAGTTGCGCCAACAAGCCTCTCTTCGTGGGGTTTTGACTAGTGGCTCAAAGAAACAACTCCTAGAGAGGCTGTGCCAAGATTCCCAAACCAACATTGTGGAAGGTAGTACGCATATTGTTTCATTTTCCATTCATATCAAAATTTCATCTGTCTTTACTATTGCTATGGTCTATTCGTATTCCAAYACATTACCTTTTTTACCAAGACTAAGGATATTTTTTTAACTTGCTTGAATATCATCATCTGCATTAATGTGACTCTTCTTCCAACATACAGATAAAAGTAAGATGGATTTAACAAGAAACTGTGTACAAGAWTCAATTTTTGTTTGAAAAATTGGTGGGAAGTTTTTATTTTTATGATCAATAGGACTTGTTTCTAGAACAATTCCTTAAGTCAAGAGGGTTACATGGCTTACTTCTAAGGTACCATTGAGTGTTGATTCATTTTTATAGGTCTCTTGGAGAATACCTGTTCATTTTGTATAGGTCTCTCAGTAAAAAAGAAAGTTTTTTTTTTCTTTTAAATGTTATTGTGGCTCTAGGGATTGAAGAGGAGGAAGATACAAACGGGAGCAAGCAGGAGCAGCTGGTTACTGCTACAAAKAAATGTTTAGCTGTATTGGATCCATGGATATCAGATCATGTTAAGTCTAATTACCATGTGTTGCAACAGGTAATTGCTTTGGTAAAAGAATGCAAGCTCCTTAATCAATTCACCCAATTTATATTTTTGTTTATGGATTGTCCAAATGCAGGGTAATGAAATTTATGATGCCACATTAAATCAGACAAATGTTGGGGAGAACAATAACAAGTTCTTTATCATACAAGCACTAGGTGACATCCCAATTCCTTTTCTGCATMTCGTTCTTTACTTATAAGAATAGGGCCCAAAATAATGATTCGGGGTACTTGGAAATATTTCATTTTTCAAGATTATGAGGCAAGGCCCTTTTTATTGCATTGGACTATGCAATTTTGGCTACTTGCTCTACTGTTTTAGCAAACCTTGTTTGCCTTCAAATTTGCATACATAGAGATATGTTATGAAGACATTGCATTGGACTAAACTCTATATTTGACGAAACCTCTTGCAGAGTCCGACGACGGTTCTACATTTATGGTTTACAATAGATGGGGTAGGGTTGGTGTGAAGGGTCAAAATAAGCTGCATGGTCCCTACACTTGCGCACAGTCTGCGTTAGATGAGTTTGAACAGAAGTTCTATGCCAAGACCAAGAACCATTGGTTGGCGCGCAAAGAGTTTGTTTCTCACCCTGGCTCTTATACTTGGTTAGAAATGGACTACAATGAAGCAGAGAAAGAAACTGCTGTGAGTTGCTTTTCCATGTGTTATGGCTTTAGAATGATATTTGCATGTTGTTTCAGTTTTTTTCATCTTGTTTAGTGTCCATCATGTTGCATTTGCGGTTACCCCTTATCAGCCATGATAGGTTACTATGTTGTTTATTGCTTCTGAGGCCTGTAACTGTGAACAGGTCCAGGAAAAGCCCAGCAGTAAAATGGAAATTCAACCTCGAGAAACAAAACTAGAAGCACGAGTTGCAAAGTTCATCTCTCTTATTTGCAATGTCAGTATGATGAAGCAACAAATGATGGAAATAGGTTTATTTCCCATTCCTTTACTCCTCATTAAAACTTTTACAAGCAGGTTTCTTATTCATTTCCATGATGATATTTGTTCTTTGTTCAATGAATTGGTAATTTTGCATCTCTATGACTGGACATTGCTTTATAGGCTACAATGCTGAAAAGTTGCCACTTGGCAAGCTAAGCAGAGCTACAATTTCCAAGGTTAGTTCTCAATTTTGGTTCACTTATCTTCTTTGCACTTGATTGAGTTTGTTATGCTGTGAAGCTGAAATATTAGCTCTCTCTCTCTCAAGTTTTAGAGGTCAGTTGGAAGGGGATATCATGGCACCCTCGTGCACAAATTACATGCTATTTCTAGATTGGGRGAGTCTATCGTACATGGTCTTGTGCTTTTTGTGGATACACTGATTTCCTGAGTATGGACTATCGGCATCCTTTTGTGGTCTCAGTTGAGGAGGCCTAGCGTTAGTTGGCATATTATATATTTGTACACGAGGTGTTCAAAAGCTTGTGTGTCTAACTGATTGGAGTTGAGAAAACTGTCCATATTGTTAATGCATCTCATGGGGAGAAAGATATGGATCGGACCAAATCCTGACTCCCTTACAAAGGAAAAAAGACCACATTATTTATAACATATTTAATGTAGTTAAAGATATTTAGGAGCAAGCCAAATCCTGTTTGTTTATTGCTTATGTAGGATGACGACTAGAGACCTTAGTTTGTTATTTCTTTATTAGAACCCATCTTCCCTGCGTATTTGTGTATAGTTAAGATGTCAGTTTTCATATCTAATTCTTYTATCATGTTGCAGTAGTCTTTTTCACCATGAAAATGTTTTGTGTTTCTCACGTGTCCTGATGATATTCTGACTGTCGTAATGGGAAAAAATAGGGCTATGAGGTTTTGAAGAAAGTTGCTGATGTGATTGGTCAATATGATAGAAAAAAGCTTGAGCAGTTAAGTGGGTATGTACCTGTTCTTTTAGCTATTATTTTCCTTGTGATGTCCAACCAATTCTGCTTCTTCATTTATAATTGTGACTTTCATAAAACTTTACCACCATGATAATTCCTAATCATGGTAATATATTTGATTGCAGAGAATTTTACACCGTTATTCCCCATGATTTTGGTTTTAAAAAGATGCGTAAGTGTCTATCTATCTCTCTACCATTTGACACACTCCTGAACCTTTATTTGTGTATCTATGGATTCATAGTGTCATTTGTAAACGGTATCATTTATACCCTCACAGGTGAGTTCGTAATTGATACCCCTCAAAAGTTAAAAYGCAAGCTGGAAATGGTACCATTCTGTTGCTTTTCTTCGTATCTCTAGTCTAGTTTGCATATATGTGATGACTGCTAGATGTTGATTAATCAAAGGTTGAAGCCCTTGGTGAAATTGAGGTTGCAACAAAGTTGCTGGAGGACATTGCTGGAATGCAGGTAATGCTTGTCCCTGAAAATTTATTTAGGCAATGAACTAATCTGGCTTTGGTAATGTCACTATAATCCCTGCTCATCCCAAGTGTTGTATATAATGCAYCTCAGTTCTCTCGCTTTCCATGATTAAGTTGTTCCTCAGGCCGTTAGAAAATATGGCCGTGTTTGTTACTTTTAATCTCTTCCAGAAAGGTGCTTGTTTCTTTCTATGTCAACTAATTCAGTTAAAATTATTATCATTGCCACAGGAAGATCCATTGCTTTCACATTATAAACGTCTTAATTGTGAACTGACACCAGTAGAWGTTGATTCCAAAGAATTTCACATGGTATGGTTTTCTTCTCTTATTTGCATTTAAAATTCATGTTTCCTGCCCTTACAACACACTTCCTTGTGGCAGTCAGCGATCAACTATAATGGTAAGAAAWTTTACCTTGATTTGTTCATAGCTTGTTACTTATATATAAACTTTGTTTAACCATCATTAGATCACGAAGTATATGAAGAACACTCATGCAAAGACACATTCAAATTATAGCGTTGAAATTGTTCAGATTTTTAGAACCTCAAGGCATGGAGAAGATGATCGTTTCAGGAAGGTTGTGAAAATATGTTGATAGATTRTCCTAAGTTGGCTTTCAGTAATGTCTTTTATTGGTAAGCATCTAAGTTGTAAAATGTTGTGTATTGCATTATGGACAGTTCTCTGATACGAAAAATAGGATGCTTTTGTGGCATGGTTCTCGGTTAACAAATTGGACTGGMATCTTGTCTCAAGGTTGGTTAATGCCTTGTTTATCAAAACATACATACTCATATAAATATTCCTTTAGCAATCAATTATTGGTGATGAAATGTATTATGAAAGAGCAGGTTTGCGGATTGCTCCTCCAGAAGCACCTGTAACAGGGTACATGTTTGGGAAAGGTGTTTATTTTGCTGACATGTTTTCAAAAAGTGCAAATTATTGCTGTGCGACTAMACAAACTTCAACTGGTGTGCTGCTTTTGTGTGAGGTCGGTCTTATTCTCATCTTCCAAAAAGGATTTACCCAATGTTTAACTTGAGATATGATGTTGGGTTTCCTGATTGTGAAAACATTATATGAATCAGGTGGCGCTTGGGGAGGTGGCTGAGCTACTAACAGCWGACTATAATGCTGACAAGTTGCCACAGGGAAAGCTGAGGTACTATTTATTAACTAAAATTAGATGAATTCATAAGATATAAAAACCCTTTAAAGGTTAATACTGAAATAAAGCTAAAAAGATGAAACGATGTGATTTGAGTGATGGTCTRTTTTTGAATTGTATTTGAATGAAAAATGCAGTACGAAGGGAGTCGGGGCTTCTGCTCCAGATATGTCGGAGAGTGAGACACTTGAGGATGGTGTTGTTGTTCCCCTAGGACATCCAAAACAGCAACTGAAGTCAAAGGTTTGTTCTTTTTAAGTGTTTGGTTTATGATGAAGATATATCGTAATAGTAACTGATGTGTTAACTTCACCAAAGGGCTTTTAGGCTAGCGGTATCCGAGCGTTTGGCCTTCTAGGAGGTCAGGGTTCAAACCTCACCGTTTAGTGAGGAGGGTGCTTGAGTTTATTTGTCGTATAAAAGTATTATATACTTGGAAAAGAAAAGAAAAAAACTGATGTGTTAACTCCATTGGTTATTGCAGGAGAGTAGTTTACKGTACAACGAGTATATTGCGTACAATGTGGATCAGATCAGGATGCGTTATGTTGTTCATGTTAGTTTCAATTTCRACAGATAAAATCAAACCATAGCAGCTGCTGCTTTGTTCAGTGGTGGTTGAGGAGCAGATGGTTGGTGTTTTGGTGTAAATGTAATGAATGACGAATGCAATTTGCAAAGCAACATATATGTGTTTCCAACTTGTATTCAATTAAAACAAATTCAGCCATTACATAAATATATATAAACGTTTGTCTGTCTTAATAAATAATTATGCCATTGGATGTTCATGTATATAAACTCAAATCTGTAGAAAAACAAAGCTCAATGGCCATAGATTTCATATCAATAAACGTTGCATCATGCATTTGGCTCGAAAAGGGTTGATGTTGATGACGCTCGACTAGACTTGAAAAAAAAATAATCTAACCTTTGGGACGATTCAAATGAAAGTCTCCTTTCAAGTTCAAAACTCGAACTCGAACTCGAACTTGACAATTGGTTGGTTAAGAGCATCCCAACAAAACACCTACAAATTTTTGTAGGTGGTGGAATTCCAACCATCGCACTATAAAACACTTTTGCATAAATTTATTCCTTGTTATTTGTTTTTCAAATTTTAGTATTTCTTATACAATCCAATTAATATTATGTTAAAAAAAAAAATTATGGGTTAATAATCATAGAATAGAATGAATATGTTATTTTTAATTTCTTAGATTGTGGTTGGTGTTAATGATTTGATGGTGTTTAAATGTAATCTCTATAATGAATTTAAAATAAAAATAAAAAAACTATCTTTTAGTTGGCTTAAATTGAATTGTACTTTATATATATATATATATATATGTTTTCTGTAGGACTGAAAGTGCAAAATTACACTTGACAACTAGATTTGCATATTAAGTAAAAAAGTATAAGGACTGTTTTTGTAATTTACATCTTTTTTCCTTTTTTCTTTTTTCCTTTTTCCTTTTTTATCAAATCAACATCAAGAAGGAATGGTATACGCTGAGACCTGAGGAATATAGAGAAACCTGTGTTGGCGCCGCCTCCTCCTCCTCCTAAACCTCTGAGGATTAAACACCAAGCAAAAACCTCCCTACAGAACAAAACATGGCGGACACCAACAGGAAGAAAGCCAACAGAAGTAAAGGAGCTAAAGAGAAGAGATGGAAAAAAGGTCCCCATTTACCTAACTCCTTGAAAAAGGAACTCCATTCCTTAAACCCTACACACGACCAACCGATCCAATCCGATGACGACATTGACGTCTATGAGTACGAAGAAACAATCCCAGACGAAGACTCCAAGAAGAACCGCAGGTACGACCCCGTTGATAACTTCGAATACCAACTCCCCAAGGATTTTGAGGTAATTTCTTCAATCCCTTTTTGCGTCTGTCTGTTGTTTCATTACCAACGAATCAATCAATCTGAATGCCAAAGTTGTTTACWTTACCAACATGTGCATTTTTATGTTGCTTTGTTGGTAGGATGAAGATGTGGCATCTGATGATGAGGAGGAGGAGGAAGAAGAAGAAGAAGAGGGGCCCCAGAAGGGAGATAGTGATGAGGATGATGATGGGAAGCATGTACGGATGTTACAAGGTATCACTGGACTGCCTGGCGATGCTTTTGAAGGTAATTTCAGTCTCAAAGTATCTCCTTTCCTGCCTGGAATGCCAGATCAAAGACTTCTTCATTCGACACTTGTGTGTTCTACTCTGCCTATCTATCCTACTGTATTTTGAAATTAACATTTGTGCATATGGTTGTTCCTCGCAGTTCAACATTCATAATCACTAGCTTCAGTTAAACCTACATCACTTTAAAAATAGATCGACCCTGTAGTCATTCACAATGAACAAGATATCTGTAACTTATATGGCTTTAATTATCATATTCGAGCTCTTTCAGTACTTGTTTACATAATTCTTTTCAACTTAAGTAGACATTTTTATTTTACTAAGAAACTCGTAATATAAGATGCCAGGATTTAACTGCCTTGTGGAGAGCACCTCAACAGTAAAGCTTTACATGTCTTCTAAAGCTTAATAGAGCACACACTAATGTTTTATTCAAGKTCCCGTGAAACAGGGTATATTTTTTATTATTTGAAAGACGACATGTTTCCAGCAAAGCAACATGCATAACATTTTGCTAGACATATCTATAGACGACCCATTCTTTTGGGAGGGGGTCAAGTGCTTGTGTTTGGGGAGGAGGAAATTGTATCCTGATTGCCCTTGATAATTTAGCCTTCGCGTGTATTGAAGCACTAGTCAGGAGGAAAACAGTACTCCCTTTGTCCCAAAAAGAAGATGCAAAAGCTTGATTGGACTATAAATCAAATACCTAAAATGCTTTTTAGTAAGACAAATTTATGAAAGCTTTTGGACCATAATCAATCTCATCTATATTTTGTAATGATTGGTAAGGGGCGAGTGTACTGCTTTAGCTGTGGTCTCAAAGACACTGCAATCTCAATTGCTCTGTACTTGGTGTGTGGCAGTGCTTCTACTTAGGAGTTATGCTAATATTCAACATGAAGGTTGCTCTCCTCAATTTTGACTGCAACTGTTGCAAATGGTGGAAATTGATATTAATTGCTAATGTGGATCTTCGCTGGCATTGATATTGATTGCTAATCTGGGAACACCATATCTTATGTATCTCCAGGCAAGAAGAAGAAGAAAAATGATGTTGTAATTTTTGAGGCATATCCAGAGTCTGAATATAATCCGAGCCGTGATGTCTTGGATGGTGATGGGCGCATTACTGTTGATGATCTTTTGAATCCCCTTCATGGGAAACCAGGATTCAGCAAAMTTAGAAAAGATGTGCAACGGATGGATAGAAAGTCCGTTTCCATACAGCCTCCTCTTCCAAAACCACAACAAGAGAAAGTGGACCGGAGGAGTACTTTTGTTTATTCAAAGAAGAAACTTAGTGAATACGAAGCATTAGTAAAGAAAAATAGAGAAGCGCCTACCATTTACTTTGATGAAGATATAGATGTTGGTTATTCCACTGTAGGGGCAATAGCTTCTGAATTTAGGCCCAGGACTGAATTTGAGAAGAAAATGGATTCTTTAATAAATGCTAAAGAACTTTCAGAAGCTCATAAGGGAGATGGTGCAAGGCTTTTGGAACTGAATAAGGTATGGTTTTCTTACACATTCATAATTTCTGGATTCACTGGTATTTAAAACTCCATCCTTCTGAAAAGGCAATGTATGACTCTTCATACGCTAAATATATTCAACTTTTAGCCACTTACCCTAGAAATTTGGGTTGTCATGGATGGCCTGTCCAACTGACTAAGAAATAAGTCATAACATGCAGAATTTATGAACTTATAATATGTTGGTAAAAACTTCATATYAAGTCACTGCCATATTGACAATGAGATTATGCAATAAAACATGCCATTTACGTCTGTAACTTTTTTGATATTGGAAATTTTGCATTTTGTATGGGACATAAACCATGTGGAATTCGTAGTCACTTATGATTTCGTTGGTTAAGCGCATATTGTGATAGATGGCATCTGTTGTTACCGCACATGTTTGGCAGATATCTRTAGAAGATGTGAAGGAACGGCAGGACCGTCTTGCAAAAATGCGTAATCTTCTATTTCGACATGAACTAAAGTCGAAAAGGATTAAACATATAAAGTCCAAAACATATCGCCGTTTGTTGAAGAAAGATAAATCAAAAGCGGCAGCCACTGAGATTGAAATGAATCCTGAAGCTGCTAAAGAACTTGCAGAGAAGCAGGAATTTAAGAGGGCTGAGGTGATTAGCATCAAGTTTCATTTGACTCCTTTCCTTGAGCTCTTTCTGTAAAACCGCAAATAAACCATTACCTTAATCTATTACTTCTGTACGACAGGAACGCCTGACTCTAAAGCACAAGAATACTTCTAAATGGGCTAAGCGCATCAAGAAACGTGGTTTTGATGTCCAAGACGATGGAACACGAGCTGCTATATCAGAACARCTTCAGCAACATGCTCTTTTAACTCGAAAAAGAGATTCCATGCATGATAACAGTAGTAGTAGTAGTGATGACAGCACGGAGGAGGAGGATGACGACATCTCAGGAGATGAGGACGATGCATCCAAATTAAAATTGTTAGATATTGGGAAGAAGAGGACACTTGAAGTGTTAGATGAAGACGATGAAATGCCTAAATCAGGAGTCCTTTCCTTACCTTTCATGGTATACTTTTGCTATTTCAAGTTCAATATCCTCCTATGGATATTCTTAACACAAAGTGCATCTTTGAAGATGGGCTAATCTGCTTCTGGCAACCTTTTGATGGAAAGATGTTTATCGTAAAACATTATTAGTCTCTTGTTTCTTTTTGAGTGAAAAATGTCTATCTAACCAGTTCATCGGTGTTTGATGCATTTGGTAGGTTCGGGGGCAGAAGAAGAAAAAGGAGGCAGCAGATGAAGAAGCTAGGCTTGCTCTACAAGATTTTGATTCATCATTGAAGCAGTTGGAGGGTGATGATGATGATGTCAAAGGCAATGTAGGTTTCTTGAGTGGTAGAAAGGTATTTGGTGCTCAAAAGAAACAGGTTCCAAAGTCCAAGGCTAAGGTTAACAACACAGATAATTACTTTGACAATACGGACAGTGAAGATGATGCTGACATCATAGAAGATGTTAATGATAAACATGGCAGAATGAATTATACACAGAAAGATGTCAATATCGACCCTAATATTCTTCGAGAGGAGTCAGAGATTGAGCATGATTCATTGTTTAAGGTGATTAAAGTCTTTGTTTACCKTTCTAGCCTTTTAGGAAATGGAAATCACCAGAATCTTTCCTGACATTTTCWTGTGATAAATTTTATGTTTCTGTTGCATATAGAACTTCGATTATATTAGCAAAGATTCAGGGCCCAAGATTACATATGAAGTTTCCCTCTCTGCAACCAACTCCACGAAAAAGGTACATTTATAGTCGTCTAACTTGCTAGATTTATCTCATCATTTGAAATTGTAAAAACGTTCTTACATCTTTTCCAGTATTTTGGTTCTTAACATAGGAATTACATATATTTATTTTAAATAATGTCGTAATGATTTGTAGAAGAGGAATATGAAAGATTCTAATCAGGCCAAAAGTGAGAAAAAAGCAAAAATCAAGAAGTCACAAGTTGCAGAATTGGCCTCTGACAAAGATACAGCCATAGAGGTAGCACATCTTGCATCCTCTAAACATTAGATCTTCAGCAGAGCTGGGTTTTCTTTTTGGACCCTTGTTTCATATGTTATTTCTTTGAAAGAAGTTTCTCACTGTATATGTTTCTCTATGTTGGGTTTATATGAAGCATGGAGAGGATGATATCGATTCAGATGGTGAAACTCGAATGGTAGATGGAATTATAACATCTGGGACAGATTATGAATTGCCATCACAAGATGATCTAATAAGACGTGCTTTTGCGGGTGATGATGTGGAGGATGATTTTGAGAYGAGTAAGCAGGAGATTATGAATGAGGAAAACCCAGAACCTGAAAAGCCTGTTGTACTTCCTGGGTGGGGGCARTGGACCCATATACAGAAAAAAAGAGGGTTGCCATCTTGGATGTTGGGAGAACATGAAAGAGCCAAAAAGAAGAGGGAYGAGGATCTTAAAAAAAGACCAGATGCACATCTTAAGCATGTGATTATATCAGAAAAGGTTGATAAAAAGGTTAGTAATATGTTTATGCCATTCTTCATATGATTTTGTGGCCTTGGTTTCTTGAACGACATGTGAGTTGAACATTTCTGCATTTTTAAAAGGAAAAAAATGGTGTTTTTTTTATTGCAGGCTGAAAAATTGCAGACAAGGACGTTACCGTATCCATTCAAGGATAAGGAGCACTTTGAACGTAGCAACCGTATGCCTCTTGGTCCAGAATTCAACCCTGCAACAACTATCGGGGCACTTAATCGACCTGAAGTATGCCATTTTTTCAGTTATTTAACATTGCATATGACGGGAAAGATCATATTTAACTTGGGGTGTTTGTCTGTGTGTGTGTGTGTGTGTGTACAGGTGGTGAAGAAACCTGGTGTGAGGATAAAACCAATCAAGTTAAGGAAGTAAAAGGAAGCAAATGAGCAGTGTTGGAAGTCAAACACATTGACCCACCGGGAACAGGAAATGCTACATATTCTTTTTGGGATTTAAAAAGGGAAAGTTATTATGTTAAAAGAAAGAGTTTGATTCCATGTTCTTTGTACTTGACCAAAATCAACATTATAAATTAAGTAATCATCACCTGTCTTTTTGAAGATATGCTACGTTCATATTTTGGTTGAAGGAATTGTTTTCATATGGTTTAAAATACTTATCAATGCAACAAAGTAAACTATCATGTAATYAAGGAAACATGTTACAATTTTGTAAGCAAAAAGAAAATGTATACTCGAGGCAATTGATGATAACRTTAACAAATAAACATGTTTTACTTTAGAAATATTACCGATGAGAGCATTGCAAGAGCCTGATTCGATTAGTTATAAATAACCGTTTGGTGRTGATTTAACAGTATTTAAAGAAAAAGTCAAACATGTTCATTCTAATTAAGCAAAATGCTCCTCTAGACGATGATAATCTTTGGAATCAAT